CTGGAGATCTGCGCCACAAATCTAGTATACATTTGCCGCTTACAATTGTGATCGTGTGGACTAATAAGAGATTAAGATGAAGACCCGGAATTACATATACAGATAATTCTTATACTGTAGCTATATTTTTCAGTACCAATATTATATATCAATACTATAGACCATATATGTTGATATACCTTTAGCAAGCTTCGTACTTTTATCCAAAAAATTTCTAAGAATAGAGATTAGACCGAACATAGCTTCCTTGATTAATTTTTTTATATTTTTCTTAATGTGTTTCGAAACCAGATTTGTTGGGCCTCTTGAGATTTCAATAAAAAACTACTTCTTTATGGCTCCTATTTTTAAATCTGATTCCATCAGTCTTGTTTATCACAAAGTCAAATTCAAATTCAGGGAATATAGCTTTAATATCTTTTATATATTCAGCTTGAACCTCAATTCAGTCAAATATATACTCTCTATATACAGATTCGATTGCCTTAAATAATAGAATAATTTGGTCAACAATATACTTCCGTTCTTCAATATCTCGATTTAGAAAAACTTCACAAGACATTGAAAACTGTATTAAAATAATACGAGTTAAAAAGTAACGCCAAAAATAATAGCATGTTAAATCCTGAAATTTCAAATTATACTTACAAATCATACAAGATTATTTGACATACTTTCTTAAATGGTAGATCCGGATTGAATGATTTCATGATAGATATTTTAAAAACATCCTTTTTAGACTAATTAATCACAAAATATTTAGTCTATATATAATATCAATAAGCTCGTGATTGACAACCAATCAGAGATGCAAAAACGAACAGACAGAATGCATGTGACTTTGATGATCAAATGCAGATATAAAAATAGAGTATCCTACACTATGCTCTGGACAAAAAAATATCTACTTACTAAGAAAGAAACAACAAGCCAGTTATAAATTTCTGGTGGAATTGTTACTGTTTGATTTGATTGGGATTTCATTATAACACCTTGTTTGTTTATATTCAATATAAAATAGCTTGTTAAATAATGCATTGCATGTTTGTGAAGAGAGGGTTTGTTTAATATTGTAATACTAGTTTTATATTTTTTTAGAAGCGGTATCTTGTAAATAAATAATAAAAATCACATTATTAGAGAATAATAAGTCACAACTATGAATTAAAGCAATGCAAATTTACTTCACTCTCATTATATTCAAGGACCTTAAAATTATATGTACGGTTCCACATGTTGTCTTGAATGACTTCATGATCCTATATACCAGTATATACATTAATATTATGGTATTTCTAACTAGAAAAACATTATTAAGACTTTCTGCAGTGATATAGATATATATCTTATCCTTCATATCTTCACGACTCATTGTCTTTTAATAACAACAGATTGATATATTAAAAAAATGAATAATAGTTATATATCAATAGTAACTATACCTTTGAGTTTGTCTTTGCTCTTGAGATTGGACTTTCCACATAAGATTTATTTTTTTTTTTCGCAGAGTACTTTGTTATTTGATTAAAATTCTTTTTAAAAA